AATAAAGGCTACATAAAAAATATATATAAGTTTTTGTGCATGTAAATGGTCTGCTAAGTCTAAAATCCCAAAGATCCATCCAGAGGGAGTTTCTCTGCAGTGGGCTCTGGTTTCAGACCGGGTGAAAAGAGGTAGGCATTATAGGAGGCAATATGAGAACAATAAACCACTTCTTGAACATTAAAGCATGGAAAATGAGCATAATGGGGCAACTGTAAAAATATGAAAATGTATTGAATCGAAATACCTGAACACTCATGACATTGAAGTTAAAGGTTATAATGTTGTACAACTCTTTAAGAGGGAGTACTTGTGTAAAGTAAGCAAAGAGGATGTGTCTAAAGACAGAGAATGTACTCCCTTTCCGACACAGTTAACATGAACAAGATGATGTGGCGGCGCAGGACATTAAGACCATCAATTCTTACTTGCCATCTTTATGAATCCTTCAGCAGGAAACACACTCTTAGCCGAAAGAGAGAAGAGCTTGGAACAGAACTTTTCGAAAAAAATAAATACATCGACCATAAGGCTTACAATATAAACTTTCCAACTACTGATCAAATCAACATTAAGGCCTTCTACAAATATGGGTGAACAGATGCTTTAACAATGCGAATTACAATGGAATACAAACCAAACAGTTCAACAGGGGAGATCAAGTTCTGGAGCACAGTCATATTTTAAGTGGTTGGAGCTCTGGTGAGAAACCAAAACCTTGGATTGGCAGCTACGCTATTTCCTCTGTAACATTGGCAGCATCTGTGAAATGCCCACGTCTTCTTCCAAAGGTTTAGTGAACCAGTTATAACCAGCTGTTCCCATCATGGAAGTCTGTGTGGGGGCAGCTGCACACAGTTTTACAGCACCATTCACACATACAATTTGAGTAATAAAATGTACCAAATGTAATGAAAGTGGAGATTATAGCATTCTGTTTATAATAAATTAACAATTTTGCAGTATAAGCGTCAGACCCATTTAGGAAAGTGAAAGTTTAGTGTTGTAAATAACTATGTTTCTTGCAACCATGTGACTTTTCAGCAGCATTTAAAAGGAGAGGTTACATTTAGGGCCTGAGTTTGGCATGACTACACTCCCACACATGACCTCCTCAGTGGGTGAGTTGTATTGGTGTATCTGGTTATGATGTAAAGGGCAAGCACGAAGTCTCACATGACGAACCTACGGGTCAATGGGACACATGAGGAGAACCGTTTAGAAACACTACCTAATGATCTTTATTTTGTAAGTAGGTGTACGAATGTATATGTTTTCTAATCAATCCTGAATGTCTCGGGGCTAACTGAGGTTATATTGCACCATCAACTATGCAGTAAGCAGATCAACAACATGGCAACATGTGATCATGTGCTGTTGTTTATTTGTACTGTAATACCTCTGTCATTAATAGAAGCAAAAACAACGTGATTCACAGAAAATTGGTGCATAACAATATCTAATAACCCAAAATAAAGAAGCCTGCTGTGCATGTGAGGAATAGTTTTCCTTTACTGTAGAAGTTCAGCTCTGATATCAATCAATGTTTTTGGGATGTTTTTGTGGGAAGTTCTCAAGCAGGGAACATTTGGGTTGTCAACATTTTTTATGAGGGGTGGGAGCGCAGTGTCAGAGGGAGGAGCCGGACAAGGGCCACTCATTTGTAAGCTGAAGTCACTGGATATTAGGTCCTAAAATAGCCCTACAGAGGGTATATAGGGACCCTCTCCCACGTTCCCCATCAGACAAAGGTTCTGTGCAAGAGCAAACACACTGTGCAAAACATATTCGTATACAGATGGGAGAAATTCACAGAGGGCAAGAAAACGAGGACCAAACGAGTTAAAAGATTGGATCATAGTGAAGCAAAGGATTTGTGAAGCGTGTATTCTGCAGCAGGAGATACTCCAGCTGGGAACTAAAGGGATAACAGATACAAGTGAGGAAAGGACAAAAAGGACACAGAGCGAAAGGATTTTAATTGGATTGGTACGTTCTCTTTGGATATCTCACTTTCCTCTTCCTGGGCCGACAGCAAAGGGGGAGGCCGCAACCATCGCAGGGATGAAGTACAACTACCATGTACCGTCGTACACACGGACGTCACAGTACACACCGTCATACACACCTACCTATCACACTCCACACATTACACATCAACTACACCCAACTACACATCAGGCATATACCTCAACAGCAAAGTACACCCCAACACAGTACAGCAGCACCAATACACCCCATCACTATACACGTCCACTTACAAGTCGGCAGCGACGTACACCCCTCCGACAGCAAAGGGGCACGGTACAGTTCAACACAGCGCACACAAGCACAGGAAAAACCTGTGATACCGTCGCACCTGCAAAGAAAACTGTACACTTCCCCAATGACATCATCTTCCAGGATATTGTAAGGCGAGGAGATATGGAGCAAATTGGGCGGTTCATGAGAGCCAGGAAGGTCCGTGTGGATACAATCTTTCACTCCGGTAAGTCTCCACAACTTTTAATTTGTATCACATTTTCACACAATTTGGAACTTTGATTTGAGAATTAATGCCAGCCAATCAGGATCGAGGTTTTTAATCTGTTAAGATGTTAATAACTGACTTGAACTGCTGCACAGGACTGACTTAGCTCGTTGTACAGGTATGGCAGCAATTCACGAAGCCGTGCTAACTGGAAGCCTGGAGGTGGTGAAGCTGTTGGTGAAATATGGCGCCGATGTTCATCAGAGAGACGAAGACGGCTGGACGCCACTTCACATGGCCTGCAGTGACGGCTACCCGGAAATTGCCAGGTGACCTTTTAACCTTTGAGTCTTGACCGATCATGCTCTCCTTTTTTCAGCACACTGATAATAGCACAGAATAGAAATATAAAACGTCATCATCTGCAGCTGATTTCTCAAATATAGGGATGGTTCATGATTTTTCAATTGTCAGTAAATAGTAGAAAATGAGTTACAGTAGCTTATGCAACTATTGTCTTGTGCGCTAGTCAGAGTGTGAGCAAAGCAAAGGGAAGTTTGATTATTGAATACGAATACAAAACGTATGTCTTTAATTTGAATATTGAACAGATACCACAGGGAAATATTGCACATTGTCTATGAAATACTCATACATTAAATATAAGATATTAAATATAAGATATTGACATATAAGATGAGGTCACCTGGTTGCAATGACCTTTCTGTTTTTATAAATATTAAGCTACTAGTTTCACTCTGAACATTGTCAATAATAACACACAAATGAATTGGTGACATCATTCTTAACAATCCACATAACCCAGGAAGTGGAGAAGCATTCAATAGGGAGAATTAAATGTCAAATATAAGGGAGATGTTTTGTTTTGTATTATATTCAAAACGAGTAAATTATGTAACTGATCTTCAATACATATAGCTTCACTTATAAGTGAACACTGAAACTGAAAGTTGACAGTCAAGACAGTGAAACACTGAAAAATCACACACATTGAGGAACATTGTTGCAGTATAGTATAATAAACTATTGCATGTTTTTATATAAATATATCTGAATTTAACAACGAGCTGCTTCATTCTCCCCTCAGATATCTGCTATCGACGGGAGCCAGCACAGTGGCGGAGAACGAAAACGGAGAGAAGCCAGCGGACCTCATCGACCCAGACTGCAAAGAGCTCGTCAAACTGTTTGAGACGGGCTGTGTGTGATTTGGTACAAAATCATGGACCCAAGAGAGAGCTTGAAAACCAAGTGCAATACCAAACAGACTGACAACAGGGTGGAAGAACATAGCCAGAGTTTCTGATCCTGAAAAGAAAGACAGTGATCCCGCTTTGTTTTTGTTTGTAATTGCAGCCTTAAAGCAATAATTGATTGGGCTGCATTTGTATTTATGCTGGTTTATTTTTTATATTTGTTTTGGGTGTATTTGTTATAATGCCAGTGCTGCAAATGTTAATCTGCAATAATTTGCCTTTTTTCATTTCAGCTCAAGCATATATAATATTCTTTCTTGAATTACATTAATCAGTTTTAGTATTCTATCAATTGTGTACGTGTTACTCTTTAAGTAGCTGGTTGCACTCCAAAGACTGTATGTTTCCAAACTATTCTTTTATTGCATATTGACTTGAAAACACAGAAGATGGGCAGATGGAGTTATGTATCCTCACTGCTGGGCAGAGAGAGGATCAGCTAATTGATAATTGATACTTGATGGTCATGAATAAATAAATAAATACACATCAAGTTATGCTGTATAAGCACTTTACTGCTGCAGTATTTTTCCTGATGCATTGTTATTGTTTTCTGTAGTAGACATATGAATGTCAGCAATGAAAGTCTTATTATTTTTGTACATTTTCATAAATAAAGAAATCTTTTATAAATTGGACTGTTGTATCGTTTATGAGAGCACACACACCAGGATTGCAACCACCATGTATTTGTTCAGCCCTCCTATGTGTGTGTGAAACATTGTTTAGTCACATAATTCCTAAAAACAATAGCAACAAGAACATCATACAATTCAAAACACTTTAAAAACCCATTCCTATCATATTTATTTCCTCATACGGAAGAGAATAAGGGGCCACCACTGGATTTTTTTGACCAAAAGTTTAAAAAATAAATGTGAGTTCTGAGATTAAAGTCAGAACTCAACATCATTTTTATTTTGTTCACATCCCAAATGTTTTTTCTCATGAGGACCTAATCCTATTCGTATCTCACAATCTATACCTATCCTTAAAACATTTCACAAAATCAACAGAGGCAATAAAAGCATTAAAAGTGTTACAGCTGTTGCCTAAACACTTATATAATAACACATTAATATCATGATATTCCTGGCATCCTGAAATTAATGTAGTAGTTGATTTTTTTTTAAAGAAAAATGCCTAGTGTGCACAAGCCTTTTTCGAAGAAATACCTCAACCGAAAGAGAGGGACTGTCAAACATTAATTGTATATTATGTATTACTTTATTGTAATTGTGAGAACGCTTTCACTTCCGTGTTCATTGGTCTTTCCCGGAAATGATTGGTTGGCATTGGCAACGTTTTAGCCAGGTCTAACGGCGTACACACTCTCTGAATAAAGAAAACGAAAGGAAGGGTTATAAAAAAGGTTTGTTGAACATATTAACAGTGTGTCATTTAATCTACATATTGGGGGTTGTTATATCTACGCAACGTGTTTTTCTCATACATATTTCGGTACAGGAAAATATTAGCTGATCGAAGCTAACGTTACGACAAGACAATGTAAATTGTCCGGCTAGCTAGCTAACTAGCTTGCTAATGTGAGCCGACAGTATTGTGTCAGCAATTCTACAGTAAGCTGTTAAGGACAAAGCTATAAGGGAACACGAATCCCAATTATTATAACCGACGTAAAACATTCTTGCTCACAATAATTGGAGCAGTGGTTCATGTGTTGGGTTTGGCTTTGTATCCTGATGCTAACACAAAATAAGTGAAAACGTAAACAAAAGGCCGCTTGCTTTGCTCACGTCCATATGTGTTCATTTACAGACACACAGCAAACCATGTCTATATAACATGAGTTCACGTTAAAACTTTGACACAATTCACATGGTTACTAATATTACTTATCATATCTCTTTAGATTATATGTATTGGTTGTGACTAGTAGGTAGCTTGAAGATGCATCTGTTGACTAACCAGCAGTGTCACTAATGTACTGTTAATAATACTTTTGAGGTGTTTATTTAAATACAGACCTGTGTTTATACATTGTGGTAAATGATATGAATCCTTCACACAGACTTTTTAACGATACAACACAATTATAACACAATATACTTTCAGTAATAATCACGAGTCAGCTGTATAATCATGCAAACATATACTTTGTTGGGGGGTGTAAATGAAGGAGCCCCTGCTACATTCTGAGGAATCATGTTTCACGCTTTACGGCACAAATTGTAAAGATTTTTTTCTGTGTGAGTGGGAATAAAAATAAGGAGTTCAATCATACCTACATGGCCAAAATGCTGTGATATCATATATTCTGTTAACAAGTGTATAGACCGTAATCATGTCATCTTTGTTTCCTATGCAATAAAGCAGGTATTGTTATTGTCTGACCCTCATGTGGAGATGTAATACTTGACACTGTTTTTAGATCTCAGCTGCAGACTTCTGATCTTTTATTCTTCAAATCCACTCACCATAGAGGAGCGTGGAGCGAGTACAGACTGCAAACAGAATGACCAGGTGTGTTATAGTGCTCAGATACAAATAGACCAGTGTTGATAGTGGTCATTTAAATGTATTAAAATGTAAATGTGGGTATATTTTGTGCTTCAGATTTGAGATGCGGAAGTAAATTATACTGACGTTTAATTTAACAACACAGAGTTAAACAATTAAAGACTCATTTTGATTTATTAATGCTGATATTTTAATTTGTTGTATGTTTGTGAAGCTCATCTGCTCCCAGGATGGTGAATAGTTACAAGCGGACCTCGAGCCCCCGATCCCCTACTAACACTGGGGAGCTTTTCACCCCAGCACATGAGGAAAATTGCGCTTTATACATGATAGTAGTATGCATTCTTACATTACATTTACTTGTTAGACGCTTTTATCCAAAGCGACTTCAGTACTGTGGACAATCCCCACAGGAGGCAATTTGGGGCGAAGTGTCTTGCCCAGGGACACAACGACATGTTGACTGTATGCATTCTTACATTGACGTATAATAATTTATTTGAATAAGTAACTGAATATTAGATCTATCACAAACTAATAAGTAAAACTAATGCAATGTGTGAAGAGCTCAATAAAGGCCAGTTGAAACAATCTAACTATAAATGTGCGCTTAGATTCTGTGAATAGTGATGGTCAACTCAGGTTGCTACACACCCCTTATCATTTTGTTCATCTCACATGTAAACACTTTCATAAGAATTAGCAGGTAAACTGAAGTCCATAAGAACAATGTCAGCATTTTTCAAAAACAGGTTATGTGTCCAATGGAACGGTGCGGACACAATAAATACTAATGGCATTACAACACCGCTTTCCCTCATCAATGCAGGAGGCCACAACCCTAACCCCTCTCATCTCAACACTGATACTCCTTGATTCATGTGTTTTCAATTGTTTGCGATGCAGAAAGAGCCACACCTTTTTTATTGTGTGGATTTCAAGGTTCCCTGTGGAGTTTTCTCGTGTTTCTCTACCAAATCTCATTAACTGTTTTGATTGTGTCCACGCCAATTACATTTGGCAAGAAACAGTCCCATTGTATTATATCCTTGAAATCCATTGAAATTAAATGAGGATTAGTAGAATATTATAAAATGATGTTGTATGTGTGTGCACGCTTGCCTTACCAGACCTCATGCACATGCCCAAGATATAAAAAAGTGATGCACTCACAGGAAAGTACTTGGACAGGGTAGTGTTTATACCCAGAGACCATTCATTCAGATTACTTTTCAATTTCTGGTCACTTCAACAATCATTGTAAAGTAGAACTAGTGCCTAAATCAGCCAATTTTAATTTGCCCACTCTTAGCACTATATAAATAAAATGCATTATTATTATTAGAACTGACATTTAGAATTACATAATCTTTTATTCAGTCCAACATCTTATTAACCTTCAGTCTTTCTTATCATGTCATTACTTACAAGTCTGCAGGGTAGGATAACATTTCCTAAATGTATTGTTGACTCTACTCCTTCACAGCCTGGCAGTGTGTGCTCCGAGACATCAGATCAACACAAAATAGCGAACGTAATGACCGTGGACCACAGGAGTATGTGGAAAAGAACCCAAATCCTAACCTACATTGTAAGTAACTGTTAGAAAACATCTCAATAGGCAACCGGCTTGGGAATCAATAATCAGGTTACACTTTATTTCCTTGCAAGAATGGAACATTACATTACATTACATTTAGCTGACGCTTTTATCCAAGCGACTTACAATAAGTGCGTTCGTCCAACAAATACAACTTGAAGAAAAGTAGTTACATACAGACATATGTTCAACTAGTTTCCCCGAACAGCTTCTATCACTCACTTATATACTAGAGAGGGCATTTTACAGACACAAGGTTGAAGAATACTGGTTTAAAGCAGTTTTCTATGCTTGTGCAAGATAGCTCAGGCCCACGTCAGTGATGATCATGCTTGTCTCATGCTTATCTCCCCAGAGGCTAAACATTGTCACATAGTTATCACATGCCTGTAACAGCGTATCACGCTTATCTGCATTGAGGGTTAACATCTGTTCATATACATTGTCATATGCCTGGACCTCAGTTCACACGTGCACTTCTGTATCTTTGAATGAGCTCATTCAGTTATTTTCCCATCAGTAAACAGTGTAACTTAGTAGTGATGTGAAATGTATCTTATTAAAGGATAACATTACTCAGACACAGGTCAGTTAACAATTTGTTTCTGTCTGCTCTTGCAGCTTTCACGCCAGTGGACCTGAAGCGACCTTAAGAAACGTAACACACAGGACTCCAAGAAGTCCTAGTGTTTCCATGGCGGTCCAGTCACTTCTTTCCACCCATTTTCCTCGAGAACTTTTTCCTCCATCAGCCAGAAAGTCAGCCCTGTTGGCCAGTCTAGCACAGAATGCCAATCTCATCTCTCAACTCTGGACCACAGCAGCCCCCGTCTTTTTCTTTGGCCCACCTACACCTGACCACGAAGAAAAGGAAACCGGTTTCCAGGGAGCTCAAATTATTTCGCCTCTCGGTTCGTGTTTTTATTCAAGTGACAAAAATCTTGATATGTACATTCTTTATGTGAATGGGACTGATGCAAACTTTTATCAAAATCTGCTGACATCTGATGCTGAGGTGGCAAACTGTCAACATTCTCCACAGGACACAAATGACTGCAGTCTTAAATACAAAACCTTGTTTTCTTTAATACTGCTACTTATACGACTTTGGAGGAAAAATACGAAAGGGCTTGACTTCTTTCTTTTTTTTGGGTTCGTTTGGGAGATAGTTCAGTAAATTGTAGAAGTAGTCAAATGGTCACATTGGATATACCATTTGTGGGCAAGTTTGGAAGCCAAATGCAATGTAGAAGGCCAATGTTTTGTATTATAATGTCTTTCCTCCCCCAAATGGACTTTACTAAGTAGAGACCTCCCCAAGTATGCTGCCCTTGGTTGAACCCCCCTCCCCTAAGCCTTGAAACAAAATGTTGAATAAAGGACTTTTACAGTACTACTCCTGCTTGTGTTACATAAATATTTACAATGACAAAAGGAAACTAAGTAAACCTACCCTGAATCTTATACTGGGAGGAATATCATATGCCAGTAGATTGGGAGAATCAATTGTGCCAATCCTGGATATAGTGATGTTTACAAAGGCTGCCAACGATCACTTATTTTCTTGTTCAATCATTTAGTAATAGAAAATAGTAAACCATTTCTTAGAACCAAATATATTTTAGTTGTCTAAGTCATATAAGGCTAATAAAACCATAACATATTCAAGAGGCCGGGTCAGAATTTTTTGGGGCATTTTTATCTTTAAAAATGTATTTTTTATAATTGATGATCAAAGTGGTTGTAAATTGATTAACTGTCTATCAACTAATCAATTACTCGACAAAGAAGTTTGAGCTCTGATTTGAATCTGTAAAGAAAAACGAAATCTATCTCCAGTCATTCATGTTGATTAATGCTAATTAAAACAGTACCTTTTTAGAAAGCTGTTATGCGGCTGGCTTGGTCACGTGTTTTACGTGATGACGTTGTATTTACGTGCAGGACGTACTCCCCACCCCCTCTATAAACAGACCAAGGCCAGTGCTTTGTTTCTTATCAGAGACAGTTGAGCTGTGAAGGAACAAGGAGACTTACCAATCCAGTCTAGGGCGTATTTTTTATATTTCGTTAAACAGTTTAGCTTTATTGGGGCAGCATAATGGCTGATAAAATGGATATGTCATTAGACGACATTATCAAGCAGAACAGGCAGCAGAGAGGTGGAGGGCCGGGGTGGAAAGAGGCCGAGGCCGCGGAGGCTCAGGCGGCGGCCGAGGGGCAGCAGGCCCTGGGCGGCTTGGAGGAGGAGGAGGCGGGCGGCGGAGGAGCGTTTTGCAGGCCGAGGCGGCGGACCCGGACCCACAGGATCGACAGAACCTGAGTCGTTGGCTAAGAGGCAGACCAACGCCTTACAACAGGGTATGAGAAAATTAGCGGAATGGGCAAAAAAGGAGAAACCTTCGGCAATCCTGAAAATGCCTGGTTAAACTTCTGTTCTTCGATAGGCTTGCAGCTAACCCCATAGCCAGCTTGCTAGCCAGCGAACACAATGTTCGCCATAACCGCCGAGCTCCCTTCGACGGAGCTCAGTTGTTTGCAGTTAAGCTTAATTGGAAGGTTGTATACATAGTGTGTCCCTTGGCCTTCTCCCACAACTTATATGTGTTACGTCATTTTCAAGAAAAGTCCCATTGGAGAGAGCGGCTATCGGCTAACTAGCTAAAGTTGGATCGTGAAGGCCTCGACAACGCCATTTTGAATCCAGCACCTTATTAAAGATAGTCAACGGCCAATAACGGCTTTCCACACCAGTGTCCACAATGATGCTGAAAGGAAACTACTTCATCGAGAAAATCCACCCACCCACATGATTTTTCCACCACTTGGGAGCATAGTTTTTGTCTTTCCCAGTGCAGCGACAGCGGCCTTTTGTTCGGGAGCGGCTGCTTTACACAACAAGGCTGTTTGGTGGCTTTCAACCAGGGTGGCTGCTGTTGTGGATGGATCAAGTGGACTTCAAACCCCCCCTTTTAGTGTTCACATTAGGCAAACGTTCACTCCTGAAGTGTGAATGAGTATTTAGACATGCCTAGAAAAGCCCCAATCAAAATGGCGTGGTCTCAAAATGGACGCTCAGATAATCCACGCTCACATAGCTTTCCCGTATTTAGTTGTTTTTCCTCATCCACTCATCTTATGGACAATTACCCTTCATGAAAGCCCTTTTCGTGGCTTGGTAGAGAACTTTGGGCGATCCAGGAAACACAGTTCAGCGCTGGGAGGCAACACTGCTTCAGATGGCAAACCCCCTTTGTACCCGAGATCTTGTCTGGAGAGCATTTGGTGGAGGCACAGATGGCAAGAACAATGGGCAATGTTGGTAGATAGCCGGGGTGGGCAAGATACTGTTAGTAAAGTGGTTGTGGGATGATAAGTATTGCTCAATTTGGCGTAGTCATTGAGTACATTTAGCTTTTCTCAGAAACATCACTAAAACTGTTAAAATTGTATACCTGTAGTATCATATAAGTTGTTTGTCCCTATATATGTCTTCCTGTCAATACTGGATTGCACTTGCTTGTTGTGATGGGGTGGGCAGGGAACATTTTGGGGATCCTCTTGGGAACTGAGCACCCTGGCCATGTTGGGAAGTGGGAGCCCATGCTTGCCCCAACACCCAGCCGTGTGGACTCTGTGATTGACAGAGGCAAGGGGATCCTGAAGTCAGCAGGTCGTTCTCTTTCATCTGTTGCAGCCAAAAACAGCTTCCGGATAAGTGGCAGCATGACATGTTTGACAACGGCTTCAGTGGCTTCAGCGGCCCCGCTGGAGGTGGCGGAGGAGGCGGCGTTGAAACCGGGGGGAAGCCTCCTAGTCTCCAATCTCGACTTTGGCGTGTCGGATGCAGACATTCAGGTACTTTAAATGAAGCATGCTTGCCATTTGGGAGTTAATTACAAAGTGGGGGTAAAGGAATTGCTAATCAATGACTCTTATTTTATTATTTGTTTCAGGAACTCTTTGCTGAATTTGGGACCCTAAAAAAGGCAGCAGTTCATTACGACCGATCGGGAAGAAGCCTGGGAACCGCAGATGTCCACTTTGAAAGGCGAGCAGATGCCCTGAAGGCCATGAAACAGTACAACGGCATCCCACTTGACGGTATGCTTCTTGTTTCACCTGTATTGAATTATGCCTACAAATATATTGAAGAACATTATCTGGCTGGCAGATTACGTGAATAATTCAATACTACTTCCCTGCCTAAATCGTGACCTTCATGTCTTCTTTGGCTCTCTAGGGCGGCCTATGAACATACAGCTCGTCACATCACAGATTGACCAACAGAGGCGACCTATGCAGGGGTAAGTGTAGCCAGGTTTTTGCAAGCAACACTCAAACATTGTGGACAGGATGTTTAATGGGCTCTCTCGTTTTCAGTCTGAACAGAGGTGGTGGGGGTGGCATGAACAGAAATCGTGGAGCTGGCTTCAGAGGTGTGCAGAGAGGCCGAGGCGGACGTGGTGCTGGAGGTGGAGGAAGAGGTCGGGGGGGACGCGGAGGTACTGCCAAGCAGCAGCTGTCAGCAGAGGAGCTTGACGCCCAGTTAGACGCCTACAATGCCAGGGTACGTTCAGCTGTCAAACAATATACCTGACAACAATTGACAAATTGCATCTTGCAGCTGTCTAATTATCCTCCTTTTTGTTTTCTCAGATGGACACCAGCTAAGCAATATGACTCCTATGGATTGTTGTCCTTCCCCTCTGCACAGAAGGGTGGTTGTTACAAATGTGCAGATTATTTTACACATGGTTGTTTCTGGTGTGATTGAAAATTATTGTTCCAACCTCCTCTTTTAAATGCTCCGTGTTTTTTACCAGTATTTCTTTTTTCTGATGAAAAATGGTTTTGTCTGTAGGTTCATGTGGATTGGGTTCGCCCAGTTTTTTTTTTCTCTACCCTGTAGTTAATGACACTTGTAATAAAACCTACAGTGCATATTAACCAAATACTGTCTCTGTTTCAATGTTCTTGTGGCCATTTGTCCATGTACTCTAGTACCTTCTATTTCAACAGTATGAAGCCTAATCAGTAAAAGTGATTTCCAATTATATCAAGGTGCATAATTTCAAGCTTTGGATTCTCTTAGGCAGTCTTTCAATTTGATTGGCTTATTCCAATATATATGGAATAAGACCAATTTAGTGTGTATGCTGCAATTCCGTTTTGGTAATGTGTTTGTAAGACATTTGCAGCACACTAATGACTTGACATTTTACTCAAATCAATACACTTGCAGCTTTTTCTTGAAATAGAACGACTGAAATTCGGAAATAACCCATGTAATTCATCCACAAAGCTATCATAGAAACCACTTCAGAAAAGCCCTTTGAAGACACATTGTAGTTGCTAGACCAATGGAAAAGATGGGGAAATTCCAGAGGTAACATTCGTACATTGGCTAGAAGGGGAACTGTCATATAGCTGGGCAGCCTATGCATTTATCACAAAACTACTCTGCTGCAAAAATGTTTCCACAAAACGGCCACTAGATGTCGCTCTGTATCCAAATGCTGTCCACAGTTGAGTCATGGAGCCTACAGGTTTTTTAAGTTTCCTTAATACGAAATCAATGCGATTACTGCCTCCTGGATAACTGTTTCATTGGCTTGAAATGAGGCTACGAGGGGATGCCGCTTAAGCAGGGAGGCATAAACTGGGAGTGAACCAAGTGTTGCATGTCTGTGAATGCAGCACAGCGCTGCATGCCCACGCGTGTCGTCGGGACAATATTTCCAGGAAGCGTTTTGAAAAACTGAAAAGTCTCAATTGAACAAATACTGTTTCCGGTTTGGTTTTCATCATTAAAGCCAGTGGCTAATCTTGTCTTTTTTGTTCCTGGAAAACAAAACAAATAAGTAGTTCATTTTACAAATACATATAATTGTAATTGTATATTCACAAAATGTTTACAGCAAATAATGCCAGTTTATTGGCCTGTACATAAATGTGTACTGTTCAACATCTTTGTAAGAGTAAAAAGGGGTCTTTGGCTTGATAACTAAAACAATTCTGATAAATAATCAATTTGTTTATCTTAAATAGCTTGTTGCATAAGCAAAAATCCGAAAGAGTACAAACTGTAAATTCCACTGAAATAAATGTGACATTTGTGATATTGGGCTATATAAATAAACATTGATTGATTGCTTGATTTAAAAGAACATGTTCATTAAATAATGCAAACATCTACATTAGTTGGCCACTTACAACATGCTCTGCATTATTTAGCTCATTGTATTTATTAATTGTTCTGATATTGATATAGTTAACTTAATCTGCGTTACTTGCACATTGGTCTCGCAACATAATCATTTTAATCAAATCTTTCTACTTTGTTTCTTCTTGCACAATTTATTTTTGTTTTATGTCCCATATTATGTTGCATTGTTGGAGGAGCTCGGGAATCGAGTTTTTCATTGCCATATCTACACTACACTGTCTGTAGCTACTGTGACAACAAAGCATTTGAATAATTTTATACTGACACTGCCTTAAAAGAGATTGTGAAACAGCTTTTATTTTGAAGGGATTAAACCGGTGTAGTGTCTCCTGTCAGCGGCCTTTGGCGCAGGTTTTCTCCGCCGCTTCACTCCGCTCCCTCTCAGCAGCATTCAGGAGACAGACCTACTGGCGGTATAACGGTAAGAGTGGACAAAACACTTTCTTAACTCTTTACAAAAATCTAATTGTGGGTGACTTAATAACTCTCTGGACGTTAAGCATGTTTTTCCTTGGGCTTTGGACTACTTTCCAAGTTTTGCGGCACTTACTAAGGATGTAGCAACTTAACGTTACCCCAATGAAGGAGGAATTTATCAAATAACTTCTTCCTGCAATCGGGCTTTTTAATCTACATGTATTTTATTCCAGTGGTATTATTAGTGTGTCAAACTCTAGGCATTTAATTATTTGTAAAGGCATGAGTTATTCGGCGGTAGTTGTTCGTTTCCGGGTGTTGAACCTGATCTGAGTTGGCCGTAAGGGAACGACCATCCATCGGATTTAATTGTGCACAATAACTCCGTTAATGAGGGGGTGCAATGAAAAGTGTCTATTCAGAAGGGGTAATTTAGTCTCCTTTTAAAATACGTGAGTGACTCGACTGTCATGTGGCTCATGAGGAACTTTTTCTGCCACTTCCTGCTATTAAACTCTCCTAATTTGAATTGACTTGAAGGGCTAACACACCTTGAACCAGCCACCATTTTGACTTTTTAAAGGCTTTCATAGTTAAGTGCACTTAGATAACATCAGATTAAATCAAATACACTTCAAGTGGCTGTCTCCTTTATGTACTGTTGTGTGATAGTAAAGCTGTGTGCTCAGCTGAATGGCTGATAAGTGATTTCTCAAATAGATCAAACTCCTTTTCCTTCCTGTGGGGGATTATGGCCTGGAGGCTATATGTTCTCTCCTTTTATGGAATGTAGGTAACACTTACCCTGTCCTGCTTGTTCGGTTGCTTTGTCTCAACCTGAGAATTTGAAGCCTTGCAGAGGGGACAGGTTATAATGTTGCAGTTTATTTTGATGGTTTAGCCTGGTTCATCCTGAGTGGGCCCAATTTAGGTAGCTTTAAAATAACTTTTACATTGCATTTAGCTGACGCTTTTATCCAAAGCGACTTACAATAAGTGCATTCGACCAAGAAGACACAACCTTGAAGAAAACAGAATCATATAAGTACATCAGGTTTCATAGAGCCAAAACATTTCAAGTGCTACTCAACTGGCTTGTGCTTTGTTAGTCATTCTATCGCTCGAAGTGGAGTCGAAAGAGATGAGTTTTCAGTCTGTGCCGGAAGATGTGTAAGCTTTCTGCTGTCCTGATGTCAATGGGGAGCTCATTCCACCATTTTGGAGCCAGGATAGCAAACCGACGTGTTCTTGCTGATGGGAACTTCTAAACATTAATCACGTAGCTTTTTCTTTGAAGATACTTCCCTGATCGTTACAGCTCACAGTAACGAGTGCAAGGGTCAAAAACCACAGGCCTGAACTTAAAAATGTTGCATAATAAATCACTATTCGCTCATATTTAGATAGGGAAGCTATGTGCACCCTGTTTTTTGTGCTTACGTGACAAATACTGACCTGGATACTGGTTCTAAGGCTACAATTGATTTGTTTTATCCATTAATGTAGTATTGTGGAGACCAAAACACAGTTAAGTATTTTCTAAATGCATTTTTTCCTACGCCTTGTGAATGGACCTTTCTAAGCCGACCATGGAGATCTGGCCAGTGGCCTCTTCTGTTTTAGCTCAGTGTCACAGGGGAATATGTGCAGGGATGCTAGCCGGCCCCCCTCCTCTACACAGACCACTTCTTTCTCGCATTGTGTGGTCCTCCTCAGCCAGGACATAACATCCCTTAGCTAAACAGCGGCCTTCAGTAGCAGATCTTCCCAGAAACAAGGGGCTTCAATTCCGGGAAATGTTAAAGTACTTATAAAGCTCATACATCTTTTATTTTTCACCTGCCTTTGAAGCACTCAACTGGTTGAATTAGGATGCTTTAAAACCACCTGTATCAGGCTGTTGCCATCCTTGAAGGGAGCCATTATACAGCTGTATTTCTTCATTGTGGAGGGTACGTCACCCCGTCCTCGGCGGTTGCCCTGGGAGGCAGACCCGAATCTGGGAATAAGCCCTGACCTTTCCGCTGGCACCTTGGCTATCCCATTCACTGGCAGCTTCCTGCTAGTGCCGGCAGGGATTTCTCACCGGCTATTTTTAAAGCTTCCTATTTGTTCTTGTTCTTCCTGGGATGGAGTAATGTTTTGTTTCTTTCAGCCGCTTCTCTCTGTGGCTAATTTCTTTGTAATCAGATTAGTCTTCTTTATGAATTTCTGCTATGGACACCCACTTCACTGTTATCTTTGTTAAATGACTCTTTGGCTAACCTTTTTGTATCATAAGCTTGTTACAAGTTGGCTATTCTGTAGCTTATCTAATGTTTAGCTGTTGTACTCTTACCCCACCTATTTCTGTTGTTTCTGGCTTCCTCTGCATTGCATCAGCTCTGCCAGCTCTTAGTGCAACACTTCCTCAAAGCTTTTGTTCGACTGGCTCCACGTCCTCAATTTGGTATGACCCAGCATGATCTAAAAGAGCCCTTTGCATTATTATCATTGCACCATTTTAACAACAACTTACGTTGGGGAAAGCTCAATATGAGAAGATGATCTGTGCTTCAGATTTGCACTGTGTGGTTTAGCGCGCAAGAGGATATGAATCATCTCGCCCGGAAAAAGGAAGTTAACAGTCGCTTCTTGAGATACAAAGAGGCCTAGTGGTCTGACATGCAAGGCAGATTTATTTTTAACTAAAAAGCTACAGATAATAATTGTCACTATATCATTAAGTGTAAAGCCATAACAGTCCACAAGAACAACTTTGGTAATACATTGTATTGGGAAAGACATGTATTTAATTAGTTCCACTAAATAGTGCTATTACAGCTCACTTTATGAACTTTGAAATCTTAATGGACAGGCAATACATTAAAGACATGTCTACAAGCGCTGCTCTTTAAATACGTTTAATTACAAGAGAACGCTGATACATTATATTCTATTCAATTGTATGCATGTTACATGTTTTTGAACAGGAAACGCGTTGCAGAAGGATGCACTCATTTCAACATTTCAATTTGCAGTTGAGCTTAAAACTTGAAAGAAGTGTTTCGTCTGTACTTAGCTTTTTTTTAAAAAGGGGAATAGTGTGGTTAAGGGGTGAATGCTAAGGTCTCCTGCAGACTGGGTGTTGCATGAAGGAGACCAACAGAGATCAAAGCAGCCATAGATCTGTCGGTGACATCTTCAATAGGGAGGGAAGCCAAGAGCTAAAGGTCACTTTTACAAAGGTTGTTATTCGGAGTTACTTGATATAAAGTGAATATTCATATCTTGTTGTCTCTGAGATAAGTTCTTGATGTGTTCTTAGGG